TTCTTGCTTCCTTGGTTTGTCAAACAAGATCATGCCATGTTCCCAAGCTTATATGTTAGGCTAGATCAAGGCTTTTTAAAGGCCTGACCATGGTCTGCAAATGGTCCAAAATATATATCTTTACTCCCTCTTTCTCTCACATATAGGCCAAAAACAAGCCTCATTTTTTTCTTTATTACAAGTTTTGTTACAATAAAATTCAGGTGTAGATTGTCTGAAACAAAATTGAATCATGTTTGAGTTGCGTCTGGCTTTCCAGCAATAAATAGTACATTATTCTACTTCATTTGATGACATGAATAACCATATTAAAGAATTTTTGCATGACATCTCCTGTTTCGGACCTTTTTGCTTTCATGGAATTTTTAATTTTTTTTACTAAAGGGAGAGGGGGGGTTTCTGGGAACAGGCATATGCGTACCCTAAATAACACTGAGTGGGGCGGCTTAGTTTGGGGTACAGTTTATACCTCCCCCTATTAAAAAAAGCAGAATTCTTTTAATTCAAGCACTCACCCATGCATTTTTTTTTTAGTGCAATATCCCCCAATCCCAGAGCTACCAAGTTGCATGCATTATGCGTGACGTCACGCATTTTGAGGGTCTGAAAACGCTATACGTACGTTATACCCTCGCCGGTGCGTCGAGTCATGAAGATGTCACGCATAGCTGATCTTTTAACTTTGCGTCACTGCAATCCCCACAAAATTATGCACATGTAAAGGCTTGTGGGGGCCATGTACCCATCCCTAAAAAAAAATAGGGGGGGTGCAGACAATAAAATCTGGACTCCACCCCTTTCTGGCACTGAATGTGCAAGCATTGTTATGCCTGTGATTCTGTGCTGTGTCTATAGGCTTAGTCTGTCCTTAATCTAGGGCTGAATCCAAACTGTCCCCTCTCAGACAGTGAATATGAAAGAGTGATTATACACCTGACATGGGCTGAGCCAGGGCTGAGTTGGATCTGATCAAGTCAGGACCAAGTCTAGGCTGGGCTTAATCTGCTCTCATTCTAGTACTGAATCAAACCCTCTCAGACAATGAATATCAAAGAATACCAATTAGCCCATTACCCACTGGAACCGGATAGTCCCTGTATTAAGTCTATGTGAATGAGAGAATTCAGGAGTCAACGTGTTAACGGTGTCTTCCTTACCTAGGTATGGTGACCTTGATGTCCTGGTGGAGGTGAAGAAGGAGGATCGGACCAAGAAACGTTTGAGGATGAAGATCAAAAAGTTCCTTAGTCGCTACGAGATGGAGAACTGGTATGTGGTGACAGTACTACCGGATGAGATGAGGCATGAATTACAGGTCAGTTTGGATAAACTTTTATATGCCACACATGCTGGTTGGTGCAATCTTAACATGCCACAGGGCTAATCCCCATTGTGCCAAGCCCCAAATCCCCCCGTGCCAGGTTGTTTTGGAGATAATCTGATTAACACGATGGTTCTTTGAATAGCGAGTGCAAAATGCACAGCACAGTCCAATGAGCATGAACAATAACTGGTATTACGAATGCTGCATTGCACGCACATGGCACTCAAGCGAAAGCTCTCTCGCATGTACAAAGCAGTATAACGATAGCGTGCATGCGTCCTTATGGCAGGCTATGAGTTAACAAACATGCCATAATTGCTCATCGGCACAAGATTATGCACAAATTAATAGAAAGAATGTAATTTACCTCACACAAGCTTTGTATTATACCCCATTTCTGGTCATAAAAGAATTGTCTACCCTGATACTAAATTAGCTTTAACAAAACTTAAAGAACACATATATGAATGAGATGATGTTTGAAGGTTTGCATGGTGGTATGATAAGTCAAACTATTTGAACAGATTTGACTAATTCACAGTTAACTGTATCTAAAGAATTGTGTGAACATTAAGACTGATGAGGAACTTGCCAAACTGGCTCTAAGAAAAGGAAACCTTTAAGAGATAAGCAGGTCAGTAAATTTTTAGAAAAATGCAATGGAGGATTAGGAAATTTATGCAGTTATATCCTACCCGCTTGACATAGGTGTTCCAACTCTCCAAGTTGATAATGGATCTAAATTTTTGTTTAGCTTGTCTTACATGTAGTTCTTGAAATTCCAAATTGGGCTTCATGAAGTGCCTCCAAAAAAATACAAATCTTTGAGTGACCAGTTTTTTCCCCCCATAAACTGTAGTGTTATAAAAACAGTTAGGAAAACTAAAAATGAAATTTTGATTTCGAATCATTAATATCTTGGTAATCAGACAGGCAATCGTCTTGTAAAAGTCATGGGATTCCTGACTGACCTAGCTATGGTTTATAATTATGATAGAGCATGAGCTTCATCTAGGATTTTGTTTGAGAATCTGAGGTAATGTTACCAAGTCACTTTAAGTATCAAGATGAATACTGAATAACTTATCATAATTATTTTTGCATCCACTGCTCTGTATCTCTGTCATTGTGATTTGTTTTGTCAAGGTACCCAAGAGTCTGCTGTGTGGTACCTTCAAGAGGTTTATCCAGGAGACTAACCTATGGATCAGCAGTGGAGGGACAGCATCAGTCATCCACTATGATGCCGACCATAACCTACATTGCCTGCTCTCTGGAAAAAAGAACTTCATCATGATACACCCCAAGTTTGCGAAGTATTTAGAGATGGCTGAAAAGGTAAGAGCATTAGATGGCTAGAGAGAGAAAGGGAGGCAGGCAGGCAGGGAAGGAAAGAGGAAGGTAGGGAGGCAGGCAGGGAGGCATGGGCGCAGGGAGGGAGGGAGGCGGGGAGGCGGGGAGGCAGGGAGGGAGGCAGGGAGGGAGGCAGGCAGGGAGGCATGGGCGCAGGGAGGGAGGGAGGGAGGCGGGGAGGCAGGGAGGGAGGCAGGCAGGGAGGCAGGCAGGGAGGCATGGGCGCAGGGAGGGAGGGAGGGAGGCAGGGAGGCAGGCAGGGAGGCAGGGAGGGAGGCAGGCAGGGAAGGAAAGAGGGAGGGAAGGAGGGAGTGAGCAAGCAAGCAAGGGAGGGCGGTAGGGGAGAGAGAGAGAGAGAGAGAGTGGAGGGGAGGGAGATAGAGAGATGGAGAGATTGAAAGAGAAAATTGTACATGTTTCAAGATTCTTTTTGTCCTTCCTCCTATATCTAATTTTCAATTTAAAGAATGTAACTAATCACTTGCCTTCAAAATCAAGAAGAAGAAAAAGGTCAGACCAACGATGGCTGATGGGAACTTACTCTACCGCATCTACTTCGTAAAAAAAAAACTTTATTCATTTTCAATGCACGTTAAGTCTTTGAAATACTGGTAAAATCTTGACAACAGAGGGCGCTCAATTGGAATCAGTGTATTGCACTGAGAGCCCAACTTTTAATTTAAGGAGGACCTTAGATCACATGAACTCCCCATGCTGGGATTGAGCAAGTGTGTCTTGGGTAGAAGGATCTGTGCCTCCATGGCTTTCGTTTCTTTTGTCCCCCTTTAACCCGTTAACTACTGAATGTATAGGTCCTATAGGCTTATACACAGAGACCACCAGGTTCCCATTAGAACATGTACCCTCATTGTAAAGTTTAATCCTATTAGGCCAGCCAAGGTGTGATTTAGTCACTTAAAGTCCAATTTAGCAATGAAACAAGCTTTTACAGTCAAATTGTTTACCCCTGATAGCTCATAAATGACAATTGTTCAAACAATTAATGCCAGTGCAGATGTTAGTTTGACTGTATTAAGTTGATAGTAGCTTGGATCAGATCAAATAGAAAATGATGATACGTTCAGAGTTAGTTATGTTCATTACCCTATTATGGGCACACAATGACTTGCCTAGTCTTGCCCAGTAGACATTTTAATTGTGGTTTTATACATGCGCATACATTAAAGAACACTGTTGCCTTTTTTATAACATAATAACCATTGACATCACAAATTTGGTTTGTTTAACTGTCAACTGATTGATGTGTTCCGGTATTGATGATAATATAGTAATAGGCATTTATATTGCGCCATCTATCTAGAACATATGTTCTGAGGCACACATAGATTCATTGTTATCTGAGTGATGTCTATTGATGATTTGAACTGCTGTCAAGATATTAGTTTTTATTGGTAATTCACAAAGAAATGAAGTGGCTAGATGGTGGTCTATCATATCAGACAATCACTTATTTGACATTTGATATTGATGGATGGACTTATTAGTTCTGGATCCATCTAAAGCAAATTTAATTATTGCATTTATTAATTTTACCTTGTTAACTGTTCAATCTATAATGGCAATCGTACATCATCTATCTAGTTAATTGGAACCATGCTGCACTACTGATCTTGAAATTACCGTAGTCATTAATCTAGATAATTCTCCTCACAATATGCCAATTAGTAATATACCCAATACTAAACATTGATTAACTTTCTGAAGATATTTAGGTATGATCTATCATCTATGCTACTTTCTATTAAAAGCCAAGGTAATAATTAATTCAAAATACATTCAATTTCATAACCATATCAAAATGAGGCAGTGGTAGAAGCAGGGTTGGGCGGTAAATACCGGTGGCGGTAATTACCGGTAAATACTGTCCGGTAAATAAGATGCGCGTCCGGTAAATATGTAAAAAACAGGAAATATGATTTTAATTCTCTATTTATTAATAATTTTACTTGTTTTTAGCCTCATAATTGAAAATATTGTTCTGAAATAATTAGCAGCACAATACTCATAGTAGGAACACACAAACAGATTTATAAAATCCTCACTGCATACATGTACACACCAAAACAAATGGCATTTTGTTCATATGCTAATTAATAGGTATTCATGAATATGGTAATTAGCAACTGGGAACCAAAACCTTTATACAAGTTACTTTTATTCTAAAGCTTAAGATATGTGAATAAAATCAGTGAAAATTTGAACAAAATCGGGCAAGGAATAAAGAAGTTAAAGCTAAAGATCAGTTATGGTCATGCGATTGCATTGTGAAAGAAACGTTGTGAAATCGATCAGAAAAGGTTGATCATCTAGCATAGATGTACTGCAAGGTTCTGGAATCATCAAAATGATAAGAAATTTGGCCAAGTCTTCATAAAGTTAGAAGCACTGTACACAGAAAGATGTATATGGGACTACACACATGTGCGCGACACATGCATTCCATATCTCTCAACAGGCGAGAGATACACTAATTTACCAATTATATCAATTAGTAGGCGGTTTCCCGTCAAAATTTTTATCATCATGTAATATTCAAAACATATTCTTTCACATGATTGGTAATAAGAGCTTCCATTTCATTTTTTGAAATTGGGGCGTTTCCAATACTAGTCTTTACCTTTAAAGCTTTTTGAAATGACTAGTCACTAGAGGGCAATATTCAATTTGATGACATCATTTGTGGACAACTCTCCATTCCTTTTGTACATCAAATTTCATGTTTTTCCTTCTTTCTTGTGATTGAGATAATAGAATGCAAAATGATATTCTACTTCACATGTTATAAAATCCAATCAAGAACACAAATAAATAGGAAAAAACGAAAGAATTGAGATTGGCATGGAGAGTTGTCCACAAATGATGTCATCAAATTGAATATCGCCCTCTAGTGACTAGTCATTTTAAAAAGCTTTAACTTCCTTATTCCTTGCCCGATTTTGTTCAATTTTTCACTGATTTTATTCAAATATCTTAAACTTTACAATAAAAGTAACTTAGTATGAAGGTTTTGGTTCCCTTTAATGAAGAACATCATATCTAGATTAGGTGTATATTTGGTATCTTTTTCCTGTATTTTTTTCCAGCATTACATAATTACAGACATAGACAAACACACGAACAAACACACACACACAAATAGTACACACAAGAGCAACCATACTCACCACCATTGTTATTATGTTCAAAATTGGACAATCCTTATGAACAAGTGAGTGGAAAAATTTATTTCCTGGTATTTCCCGGTAAAAAGTGGTAAATACCGGTAAAAAACGGTAAATACCGGTAAACACCGCTTATTTCCCGGCGTCCGGGAAATAAGCCTCCGAAGCGGGAAATATGCCAACCCTGGGTAGAAGCTTGAAATTAATTAGCTATAACATGGGGAATCTCAAGATTACCTCTCACTCTGATGAAGCTTACATTTATCATGATCAAAGCTGCGTTTACACGGCAAGTAAGAATTATTGACTGTTCTCAACTTCCATTTCAAACACGACAAAACAGCGGGAAAAAAAGATCCCCCTCTGGAGTAAGGTTTTTTTTAACACCTGCCAAAGTTTCACAGATTTTTGCAGTTTAAAAGCAAAGTTCGGTACGATTCTGTTTTTTGGTCACGTGACTCTCTGCGCTTCTGCAGAAAAGTTGAGCATGCTCACTTCTCATTAAAAAATCGATGAGTGGCAATTACAGCACACACCAAAGGTTTTTGAATGGGTTTTTCCAATATCGCAGTCCAAAAAAAACAATGATTTTTCAAAATAGTGTATGGGATGTGTAAATGGGACTAATATATATCCTACAGCATCCACATTGTGACGGGGTCGATTGGATATGTCACCAGACTGTGGATCACAAGGTCCGCGGTTCAAGTCCTGCCGTGGCACCTTTGGCAAGATATCAATCTACATTTGCCACACTCGACCCAGTTGAGGTAAAAATGGGTACCTGGTAGGATTATTCCTTGAAATGCACACTGTGCACTGATCACTGCTGCCGGAGCTAAAGCAAGGGTAATAATGTTCAAAGCTCTTTGGAAGGACATAGAGACGTTATATACTGTGATACGTGCTATACAAGAACCAAATATTATCATTATTTTTTATTATTACTCTCTTCCTCTCCCTGTTTCTGTTCTTTGTGATAGACTTTCTTTGTAGGTTCTGGATTTTCTTCTCTGGATGTTGATATGATCAATATGTTCCAGCATCCTGATGTAGCTAAGGTTCAGTGGACTTGGGCCACTCTTAACCCCGGGATTGTATCTATATCCCTGCAGGTCAGAACATTCATTTTTATTTTAAAGAAAGAAAGTTAAAAGAAAGTCATTTTTTTTCCTAACTCATTATAAGGGTTATATCCCACTGCCAAACCTTTGCTAATGATTTTTGTTTTGTTTTGTGCTTTGTATTCTTTATTTGATAGCAAGGGGAATCGTTTTATTGCAAGCCGCTGGATTTTTAATGCGATTTCCCAAGCACAATTTTATCATATTATTATATCTTTGTATTTTACGAAATTAATAAAATTGAATATTACACTACCCATTTTGAACCCTATTGATCACCACATAGCGGTTTAAAATGCTATGTTGTTGTATATGATATTAAATATTACAAACAAACATGTCTTTGTTTATTAAATCATAATTAATTGAGTTTGAAAAAATGAAATAAAAAAAAACAAAAAAACATGTAAATGTTAGGTGTAGATATTAAAGCCTATTTGCACTATAGTTGGGGCAGGAGGGAAAGACCTCCCTGCGCGGTCACTGACAAGTGGTTATCTATCAAATCAGCTCTCAATTAACATTTTTTTTAAAGGCCCATGGGGGACCAACGGGTATCGCTTAGGCATTGTTTGCTATATACAGGGCCCAAGTAGCTACAAGTAGTGTAGTGGGGCTTTAAGTCAGTATGAATCAGTGCAATGTTGATAATAATGAGTAACTAAGTAATCATGATATTGAAATGAGGCGATGCATCTGTCATCTTTGTGCAGAGTGCTTTTCAAATATATTTGACCCTTTTTCCTTGATTAAGCTCCTTTTTTTCATAAAAAGCTGATTGTTTCTATTGTTACAAATCTTATACGTATTCATGTTTGTTATTGTTAATGTTAATTATGGGCATGCGCAGAGGACTGGATTGAAAAAGGTTTGATTTCTGAGGAAAAACCTATGATAGTCTGTAGAGGTATTTTATTATTTTTCTTTTGAATTCATACTGTTGTTACTTTTGTGTTATGATTTTATGATATGAATGTATGATAGATCTAATGTCACCTTGTTGTGGCACTGTACTATTATTTTCTCTTTTATCTTCTTCTTCCTTTAAAAAAAAGGCTATCTGCATCAGGTTCGGGCTCATGGCAGGAGTATATCAGGCACCATTCTCTTCACATCTTTGCCAACATTTGATGACTCTGACTGTAGCAGAGACATTGTAAATACCTATACCAGTCTTGATGAAGTCAGAGTTCTATGGACCTATAAGAAGGGAGATAAAGTGAGTGTTTTAGGATGCATCCTTGCACAGTGGCACATCCAGGTTTCTGTTACATGATGCTGTATATTTCACATCTTTGTATATCGCATTGTGTTAGTTGGCAATATATCAGGGGTGTGTTATGGGCTCAAACATGATTTGATAGGGAATCTGATACAATCCTCTTGGGGCACCTGACTCCAAGGGGGGCACAGGGCACCCCCCCCCCCCCCCCCCCCCCCACTTATGGGAAAGCAAGTTTAGAACATCATGTACTTTAAATGTGGATATAATATTGTTGAGTCCCTTGTGCTTGAAGGGGAACCCTACCCTAATACCGGTATTTGGTTGGTTTTAATAAAAGTAGAAAAATGAGAGAACTAGATTATGAAAATTTCAGCAAAATCTGATAAAGAATAAGAATTTTTATGCCTCCGCCACCGAAGGTGGTGCCGGAGGCATCATGTTTTCGGGTTGTCCGTCCGTACGTCCGTCCCGTTTGACCGTTATCACAATATCTCAAGAACCATTTAAGATTTAAACTTAAGACTCGGGAATAGTATTTATCACCATAGGAAGACGATCTGATTAGATTTTGGAGTACGTAGGTCAAAGGTCACAGAGGTCAACTTATGAAATTCCTTGTATTGAGTTTGTTAGCGCGATATCTCAAGAACCATTTGAGATTTAAACTTCAAACTTAAGGATAGTATGTATCACCATAGGAAGACGATCTGATTAGATTTTGGAGCACGTATGTCAAAGGTCAAGGGTCACAGAGGTCAACTTATGAAATTCCATACATTGAGATTGTTATCATGATATCTCAAGAACCACTGGAGATTTAAACTTCAAACTTAGTGATAGTGTGTATCACTATAGGAAAACAATCTGATTAGATTTTGGAGCACGTAGGTCAAAGGTCAAGGGTCATAGAGGTCAACTTATGAAATTCCATACATTGAGATTGTTATCATGATATCTCAAGAACCACTGGAGATTTAAACTTCAAACTTAGTGATAGTGTGTATCACCATAGGAAGACAATCTGATTAGATTTTGGAGCACGTAGGTCAAAGGTCAAGGGTCACAGAGGTCAACTTATGAAATTCCATACATTGAGATCGTTATCGCGATATCTCAAGAACCACTGGAGAATTTTCACTTCAAACTTGTTTAAATTGCTCTATGGCGGAGGCATCATTTTCGACTGCGCGCAGTCAAAATTCCATCTAGTTGGAATTGTATTCTATCAAACACATATTGGCAATATGACATATTTTCTGAGGTCCTCTCCCATTTTATCTCTACACACAAAAATCATAAAATTATCATCTTTTTTCTTAATAGCTGATGAAGGAATTAATATAATTTTCCTTTTTTTTTTAACAGGGATTCTGTAGAAACCTTGTGGAATAATTATACCAAGGGAACATGTATGATATTATGTTTTCTTCAGATAAAAGGGAAATTTAAGATTTTGTGTACAAAGCAAATGGAAGGGGACCTCACAAGATACGTTGCAGTGTGCCCGATTTGTGTTTGTGATTGATTAAGACTTCAAATATTCACAACTTCCTTATTTTTCATCAGATTTGCTCAAACTTTCACTGATCTGTTTCCCCACTTTTCCGCTTTTATTGAAACTCACTTCAGATCAGGTTAGACTGTCTCATCAAGAATGAAAATACTAATAAAGGTTGCTAGGTTAATTTCATTATTCAATAGGTTGTTTAACTTTTAATTTTAAACCTCTCTTTATACATGTATTTTGTTAACAATTTGCTAATAAAAAAAACAACCTTATACTACATATGTATAAACATTGTATAAGTATTACTTGAGCCATTGAGCTTGTATTAAAATAGAGTTTCATTTTATATCTCAAGTAAAGCTTTAACTCCTGATGGCATTTGTTAATCTGTTTTTCTTTTTCCTCTGTCTGTCTTGAAGGTGATTGAGATGGGTTATATGAACCCTGAAAGTCTGAGAGACAGTTTCCTCAGCGTCTTGGGAGAGGCAAATCAGCTCAAATTTGAGCAATTCAAGTATTACCTCATCGACATGACAATGGAAGATGGACAAGTCTCAAGAGAAATGGACTTCCCAGAGGCAGAGGAGGTATGAGTTCATTTAATGTGGCCTAAAGGCTTGTTCACATATAACATAGTTAAACACAGCGTTTGTTTTATCATGCATTAAGTGTAATATTAGGAGGTATGAGTTCATTTGATGTGGCCTAAAGGCTTGTTCACATATAACATAGTTAAACACAGCGTTTGTTTTATCATGCATTAAGTGTAATATTAGGAGGTATGAGTTCATTTAATGTGGCCCAAAGGCTTGTTTACATAAAACATGGCTAAACACAGCGTTTTGTTTTATCATGCATTAAGTGTAATATTAGGAGGTATGAGTTCATTTAATGTGGCCTAAAGGCTTGTCCACATATAACATAGTTAAACACAGCGTTTTGTTTTATCATGCATTAAGTGTAATATTAGGAGGTATGAGTTCATTTGATGTGGCCCAAAGGCTTGTCCACATAAAACATGGTTAAACACAGCGTTTGTTATGCCTCCGCCACCGAAGGTGGTGCCGGAGGCATCATGTTTTCGGGTTGTCCGTCCGTACGTCCGTCCATACGTCCGTCCCGTTTGACCGTTATCACAATATCTCAAGAACCATTTAAGATTTAAACTTAAGACTCGGGAATAGTATTTATCACCATAGGAAGACGATCTGATTAGATTTTGGAGTACGTAGGTCAAAGGTCACAGGTCACAGAGGTCAACTTATGAAATTCCTTGTATTGAGTTTGTTAGCGCGATATCTCAAGAACCATTTGAGATTTAAACTTCAAACTTAAGGATAGTATGTATCACCATAGGAAGACGATCTGATTAGATTTTGGAGCACGTATGTCAAAGGTCAAGGGTCACAGAGGTCAACTTATGAAATTCCATACATTGAGATTGTTATCATGATATCTCAAGAACCACTGGAGATTTAAACTTCAAACTTAGTGATAGTGTGTATCACTATAGGAAAACAATCTGATTACATTTTGGAGCACGTAGGTCAAAGGTCAAGGGTCATAGAGGTCAACTTATGAAATTCCATACATTGAGATTGTTATCATGATATCTCAAGAACCACTGGAGATGTAAAAACTTCAAACTTAAGGATAGTATGTATCACCATAGGAAGACGATCTGATTAGATTTTGGAGCACGTAGGTCAAAGGTCAAGGGTCACAGAGGTCAACTTATGAAATTCCATACATTGAGATTGTTATCATAATATCTCAAGAACCACTGGAGATTTAAACTTCAAACTTAATGATAGTGTGTATCACCATAGGAAGACAATCTGATTAGATTTTGGAGCACGTAGGTCAAAGGTCAAGGGTCACAGAGCCACATAATTTGGTACCAAAAGTACTGGTAGTTGTTTCCCCCCCCCCCCCTTTTTTTGGGGGGGGGTTGCTCTTGAGAATGGCAGTCATCTTTGGGTGATCGCCCATGTTTTCACGTTATGTGTTAAATCATGAAATGATAATAGATTCATTCAGAATTCAGATTGAACATTGAAACAGTCTCCCCCCTCCCCCCCCCCCCCCCATTATTTATTTAAACAACATTTTAAGTAGTGACCATTTCATAGTATTTCTTTGAAATCATTCCTCCAGCCATGTATGGTGATATCGATGATTGTTGAGAATCCATTGAAAAAACATCAATATTGCTTCCTTAACAAACATACGCTTCCTTGCACGTTTGTGTCCTCAATCTCATCGTTAGATCACTGTAATGTAGACCGGTCGAGGAAGTGAGTGAGAATGGGGTCTGATTTCCAATGTGTAATACCTGTTCATGTGACAACATTCATCTGTTAACAGTCTACAGGTTGTTCCATCCAGTGACCAAAGCAGGCAAAGAGTTAAATAGTTACTGGAAAGGAAATAAACACTCTGTTTTCATCTCTTCTTTTCAGGCTTTCCGGATTTTCGATCATGAGAACAAAGGGTATCTTACAAGAGAAGAAATCGAAGAGATGGACGTGGAATACTTCAAAGATTTTGCAAGGATACTTGATATGCCTAGCGGTCCTACATCAGATGAGATGCATGATGAGTTATAACTATAATTCTTTTCATCCATCTTATTTTATTTGTGCTGGAATATCAGAAATCAATGAACAGTTGAACCTCAGTATAAAGAGCTTAGATAGAACAAGGTATCTGTTAGAACAAGGTAATTTCACTGATACCAGCTCTTTATATATTTTCGTTTTTTTACCCTGATATAACAAGGTAGTTGCCATGGTATCATAGACATTTATTTAACGAGGCTCCACTGTATTTCAAAATCATTTTTTACCCCATTGTTCTCAGTATACTTGTAAATTGTCTTCCATATAAGGAGAGGTTTTTATTTTGGAATCTTTAACTTTGTCATATATTTGTAGACTCTATGTTATGATCATTTACCCTGCATTGTGCTAGAGTTAGAAGTGAAGATTGTGGACAACTGATTGAGTTATTTGGAACTCTATCAGTGTGCTTAAAGGTGACATGTCTCATTTGAAGGCCAACAAAATGAAAAGGTTAAATTCATCACCTTTCATCATCTAGCCATATAATACATGTATATTGAATCTAATGGAAACATAGTTAAATAGAGTCTATCTCAATGTACTTATATCCACAGTACTTCAATCTGTCTTTCCTTCTATATATAAAGAGCAATACTACTTTGGTATAAAACTGGTGTTTATCAATTTCTGTTTTGTGTAATTACAAAATCATTTCATTAAAATCACTGTAGACGTATTATGATTACAAATATGCTTCTTGTTGAACTTTTAATAGCTATTATAGCTATTTATTTATATTATGGTGGCCGGTGGTTATTGGATAGTAACCAATGTTTAAAGGTATTACAAAGTTTTGGTATGGGGTCATGAATTTGGTTCAAATTAACATATTGGAAGCATATGCGTCCCTACAATATACATTGATCGTTGTCGCGGTTGAAATCGAGTCTAAAGTTATGAAATTATGAATAATAAACTCTTTATGTTGTATAGCTCCCTCTCAAGGTCAAGATATTAATTTCCCAAAACTTTGTATTACCTTTAATTAATGTGATATGCTAAGGAATTCAGATATGGTAAAGTATAACTTATGTGAATCCTTTGTTTTATTTTCTGAGGAACTAAGAATAAAATGCCAATGGAAATTCTAAGATTGAAATTATTTCAGAGCAGCAAAAACAGCATTTAATTTAGCCAACTCCTGTTAAAGCACAGGTATGCCTTTATTTTAGTAAAAAACTATAGTGATGACAATTGTAGTTTTGCTGCAGGATATTAATACATGGACATCAAGAGATTATGCCTTATAATATGAAGATGAGAAGTGCCTTTTCCTGGTTTGTTTTTCTTGCACATGAGCTTGTGAGTTATGGAATATTAGCCTATGCCCCAGATAATCAAAGTATAATGTTTGGTCTTCCTGTCCATAGTAATTTGATGAAATAATAATTATATTTTATCTGTTATTAAAGTGTTGTTTCTATGTTGATATCTTATCTATGACCTTGATATAATAAGATTTATACAGATATACAATAACCATTCCTGGGAGATGATTTCAAATTTGCCACAGAAATAAAACAAACAAAAAACAAAAGAAGTAGAGGAATAGATGATACATGATGTCAATCATAGTATTATATATATATTATATCCCTTATACAAAATAAATGATGCTTATTTCTTCTCTTCCACACAATCACTTCCTCTCTACATGCCTATTTTCTTCCCTCGTCTCATTTATTGGCGCTTTGATGGCATGCTCTCCCACCCCCCCCCCCCCCCCTCTCTCTCTCTTGCTCTCTCTCTTACTCTTTTTCCTCCCCCCCCCCCCCCCCCTCTCTATTTATACATATCACTCTCTCTATTTATATCCCTTCCTCTCTTTCTCTCTCTGTCTCTGTCTCTCTCTCTATCTCTCTCTCTATATGTGTTTCTTTCTCTCCCTCCCCCTTCTACCTCCCCTTCTCTCTCTCTCTCTCTCCCTCTCTCTCTCTTCTTTTTCATTTTCTCACCTGCTCTACCTTTCAATCAGTAATTCTTTTGTTTTCTTATGCAGAAAAAGAAACGTATTGAATGTGGCGTGGACAATTGTTTATGTATGGTCAAGCCGATGCGACATAGAATTTTAAGATGTCAATATTGCCGTTTTCATGATTGATTTCCTAGTTGCACCATTTGTAGTCTAGGATTTCGCTCAGTGTTCATGTTGGTATTAATTGATTTTAATGAATTTGTGGAGAACATGAACAAAAATGGATCACATGTCATATTCTTAATTATTTGTTAAAGGTCTGCGAACTAAGAACACATAATCATATGTATATTGTCCTATCCAAAACCTTATTTTACGTTTCATAAATTAGACGTTTTTACAACTCAACTTTCAACCATTATGAAATATACTGTACTGTGTATGGATATTCAACACCAATTATATTGTTGATGTTTTCTGTTATGTTGTACTGTTGTACATTACTTTGTGTTGCAAAGAAGTATGTATGGTGGTATGACAATATTTCACACGTGACACTAGAGGTTATATGTCCCATTTGCAGCCAACATCAAATTCTGTAGATTTTTGCAGGAATTATGAATATGTCTCGTATGTCCTATTTGTGAGATGTAAACTTTAGCAGTGTCCTAACGTTCAAATTATGCAAGGAAACCCGATTAGTTTCTACACTTCACTATCAGATACTATTGTGTATCTGACTGACTTCTTTTTCTTCTCTGGTAATAAAATACATAAAGTGAACTGTAAAGGATACATGGGAATTTGTCTACATCAATAACCCACTTCTTGTAATGGCCAAAATTAAACCGATTGAATCTTCTCGCAGCACAAAACGTACGACCATTCGGTACAAGGGTCTGAAAATCAGACTATTACTAAATGGATTGCAATCTCTAGAGTCGATTCTACAACTAATGGTCGTTATTATCCCTCTCTAGGAAAGACATGTTCAAGGCTTTTCATTCTGAGGGAAGTTTTAATTTAGTAGTATCTTTCAAATGCTGTTGGAATTTAACCTTTTCATTTTTGGCCAGCAAATGGGACATAATACATACCTTTAATTCGCGGACAGTTCCATACCTCAAGAAATCGATAAGATTTCGAAAATCTGATACCACTAATAAAAAGAGTAACCTAAATGGAGAGAAAGTAGCAGTTGAAGAGGAGAGAAAGAAACAAATTAAGAATAGAAAATAAATGAAAGGAAAAGAATAAGTGAGGAGAGGGGAACAAGAACGGGGAATGGTTTGGTATGGTCAGTGGCGGATCCAGGGAGGGGGGGCGGCCCCTTCCCCTGGGAAAAATACAGTTAAAAACACGTTACTTTTATCTTCTATATGGCGCTCAAGGTGGGAGGGTGGGGTGCGATTTTTTTTTCTTCAAATTTTCGAGGGCCAAAAAAAAAAAAAGTGCTCACTACCCACGCATGGGATACGAACAATTTAAAGAGAGGGTATCAAAAAGTCATTTGGCGGGCGGTATCTAAATTTCAAAGAGAAAATCACATTTCTAGAAAGTTCATTTTCTGCTCTTTCATGACTCCTCAATCAGGAAAAATGAGCTAGGAATAACAAAGTTCTGTTTGTTTAAAGTAATGCTTGCATTTCCATAATTTGATTAAACGAATTCGTTTTCACTAGCTGCCAATATGAATACTCATATGGGGCTCACCATGGGTAAACAGGACATATTATTAATAATAATAATAATAATAATATAATAATAATATAATATATAATAACGTTTTATTAACCCAGGGTAGCCACTTCAGTTGTGAAACTGTTCTTCCAGCGGGCCCTGCATAACATAATATGTTATTACTACCCTTCTCCAATCTAATATGCTGAGCGCCTAGCTAGAAGGCAGAAGGTCCCATTGTTATAAGTCTTTGGTATGACTCGGCCGGGGCTCGAACCCACGACCTCCCGTTCATGAAGCGGGCACTCTATCCACTAAGCCATCATGTCCGGTTATAATATTATTATATGTATTATTATCCGGTTATAATATTAATATATGTATTATTATACTGAGTTTTGAAGCACATATTCGCCTTTCCTATCATTGATGCCTGCTTATATACGCTTCGTCTGTTCTCATTACATTCGTTGAATTTCATGAATTTATTATATTCATCTTTCATACAAGAATAACTATGACGTCTAAGCAGAATTATACATACCAAAGAAGTGTATAGAAGTGTACAATGACATATATATGCGTGTAGTCTTGCCACATGCGAATGGACCGTATGAAGAAGTACCATTACCAGGTACAACAACAAATTCTACACTTATATGTATTACAGATTGCCAATTTATTATACAATAAATAGTTTTTAAATAATCATGTGATAACAATAATTAAATATCTTACAAACGTTAATGTGTGTGTGTATTAGGAATGAATATTTAAAGTGTCCATGTAGCATAGGCAGGGGTAACTCTTTTAATATAATTGTTTTTGCTATTAATGCCCATCATAGTTAACTCTTTGAATTCAATTCAAGCCATTATTCCAGACTCAGCTGCAAGAGCAGAGGTCCATATAACATATTTACATGTAGATATAAACAATGAACGAGAATAAGAGAGGAACATATTATTAAAAACCGACATATTTTCATGCACATAAACAATGAACAAAACTTGGAGGGATACACATATGGATATACGAGAAACAAAAACTAAACTACTCTAACCAACCTCTGCCGACTGTGACAACAAGCTTCAGAACCAGAACTTCCACAAGTCTGAGGTGAACCTTGTACTGCTATGCGATGGGTTAACCAACATTTTAATAATCATATTTTCTGAAGTGTCAATTCTGTAAATGAACTTGAAAATTAAATTTCTTACAACAGCTTGACATGCAGGTAGATTCGCATCAAGTGGGGGATTCAGGGGACGCCCCCCCCCCCCCTGGCAAAAAAAAAAGGGAAAAAAAGGGGGAAATATTTTTTGTTGTGTGTGTGTGCTAAAGAGAGAAACAAACAAAAAAGTGTTCCTTCCCCCACCCCCTCCTAAGCCACTGAACGAAATATCTGACGACGTAATTTTCTAATTTCCGGGGCCAAAAAAAGAAAAAAAGGAAAGAAAATCGCTCATCTGACCATGATTAAATACCCTAAAACCCCTGAGCTTCCGGGGGCTCTGCCCCCTGGATTTCACCTAGGGCCCAAAGGCAGGCACTTGGATGCTCATC